CGTCACCTGTCCTGCTTTCTTCCAGGCCCACGTCAGCTAGACAGCCCCCACTTCATTCTTGCACTCCTTGATACCCCCTCTTAGCTCTGCATCCTGGAATTGGTTCCTGCTACAGTCCTCCTGTGAGCTTCTAATGGCTGTTTTCCTTGGTTGGTCCTGGTCACTAGGAATGGCAAAGGACAGCATATAGACAAAGCCAATGCAGAGAAAGTGGGAGAAGAACTAGGAAGCCCCATCTGACGGGGCTTGTGGGGGCTCTGCCAGACCAGGCCTCTTGTAGGAACAGCAGCCCTGGGGGTTCCAGAAGATGAGAGGCGTCTGCACAAGAGGAAGAATCGGGAGGAGCCTGTGAGAAGGTAGCAGATCCCACCTCAATTAGATAAGCGAGGGTGCAGATGGAGATGCTCTGGCTGGCAGGCAGCGAGCTGGGGTGCTCCAGCCTGAGAGTGTTGGGGTATGCTCTGTGACAGAGCAGACTCTCCGATGGTGGGCAGCAGGGGGCACCTGCATGGTGGACAAGCACAGCCAGTGTCTTTCCTTGGGGAAGTCCCTGGGAAACTGCCTCCTGGGACTAGGGAGGGGACCATAACATCAAGGATCAGCCCTTGCAAAAGCCCTGGCCTCTCCTGGTAGAGATCTGAGCGAGGACTCAGCTGTGTCTTGGAGACCCTGGTTCTGCTCAGAGGAGGCTGCAGGGCTCTTGTATGGAAGCCCTCCTAGAGCACCAGCTCTCCGCAGGGGCCGTGGATATTTGAGCTCAGATATAGAAAAAACGCTCAACAGGCTTCAGAGGAAGCCATGTTTCTATTTGCCCCTTGAGAGACTTCAGGAGGGGGGTAAAGCTGCTTCTGAAATTATTTCATATAAAAGCTCTGACGAGCAGCATCCTGCTCACCCATAGCTCTTGCAGCAGTGAAGGTTTCCATCCCTGTCAAGCCGCTGCCAGCCTCAGCTCCGAGAGTAGGTGGGGAGGGATCCTCCCTCTGCCAACACAGTGCTCTTTCCTGACATGTTCCTGAGGGCTTCTCATGTTGAAAAATAAAGTTGGTTGAAGCCCAAAGTCCCCAAAGGCTTTGTGCCTTTGCAAGGGAGTCAGCGGTCTGTGCAGAAGATGGTTAGGAAGATGTCCCCGCATGTCCTCTGCTGCCTGCCCATGGCCACACTGTACCATGTGGACAAAGGTGGTAACGTTCCAGGATGCCCACTTTCGTGCACAGGGACAGACCCCAGGGGTGATCACCCCGGGCTCTGTTGAGACTCAGTCCGCAGTTGGGCTTGGCACACACAGCACGCTTCCTCATAGGCCTTGTGTCCCTGGCTTTCTGTTCCATGCTGGCTGTGGCTTTGGAGTGTTGTAGGCCCCATACATTCTAAGTGCCTTTGCTTTATTCTCTGCAGCGTGCTTTTCTATAAGGTTGCTTGAAGTCACCGAGCTTCTGTACTTCTTGCCTTAGAAGCAGGGTGCCTTGTGTTGCTGTGAGACAGTACGAACCCACAGCCCGGAATGTGTGTGTGTCTGCGGTGCTCTGAGGGGCCCTGGGTGAGGGGATGGCTCTCCTATCCGCTCAGTGGCGAGAAAGCTGGCTCTCTCCTGGCTGTGCAAGGTGAGGCCAGGACAGTATATTTTTTCCCTCATAAAAATGTTCTGAGCCACCAGAGCAGGAAGACCAGGCCACAGAGCCTGACTTTCTGACAGAATCCAAGGTTGGGATGCTCACACCATCCCACTGGGTCGCAGGGAGTAGGGGTAGATGCATGAGAGCTGGGACCTCCGACACTGAGGGTCTTTCTGTCAATACTGAGTGCTGTCCTTTGACAATCTTGTCTCATTAGGCTTAAAAACAATCCAGTGTTTTTTTTTTTTTCAGATCAAAACACCAGAAACTTAAAAATCTGAGGGCTGCAAATGCTGTTCAGTAGAAGGAATACTACTTAGTGTGTGTGAACACTTGAGTGTAATCAATTCCCAGCACCACAAAGGAAAAGCTGTCCAGTTAGCCTCTATGAACATGTTGAGGTGGTCCCTCCTGATGGTTCTCTTTGTCTCTTCAGAGTTGAGATCCAAGTATGCTTCTGAGTAGAACCCTTCTCTGGTAAGATTGCATCATAATCATGTTGCTCACCCTTGAACGGTCTCCATGGGCATCTTCAGTGGCTGTACAATATGCTATCATATGGCCCCGCCCCGGTCTTCTTATCTATTCTTGTACTGTTGGCCATTTGCACTGTGCCTAGCTTTTTGTTTTAATAAATGACGCAGCAAGGACACATCTTTGGGCATACAGCTGCGCTTATACTTTAGATTATTTCTTCAGGACAGCTTCCTAGAAATTTCTCCTGATTATTGAAAATGTTGCTCAGGTGCTAAGGTGCACCCTGGGCCCGCCGGTGCAGGATGAGTGGCGTAAGAGACTTCAGGCAGGTGTGGGGCTGGGTGACAGCCTGTGCAGTGCTGCCACCATAGACGACACGTAGTGCTGGGGACCCTGGAGAGACCGAACCCGAGGCTAGTCCTTGAGGGATGTATTGGGTAGTGTGTCACTGCCATACGCAAATAGCCTCGCGAAAGAGACAGCTGGACCCATGAGAACCCAAGTGTGAATGTCAAGGTGGAATGGTCTCTTTGAATGGATTTCATCTTAGCTTTTCTGGGGCTTTCATCAGAATCTATAGAGCTGCTGAGACTTTTCCATTCAGTGATTATCGAGACATGCACGGTAAGGGAGGTGAATTATTTTTCTTTTAGAGTTTTTACATAGAAAAGCTGTTTTTGAAAAACCTGTTGTCTGGGCCGGGAGCGTGGCCCCGAAGCCTGGTGCCTGCCTGGCAAGCGTGGGTGGGGTCTTGAGTTTGATTGCTGGTACCAAAATGCATCTGACCAATAGAGTACACTCAGGAGATGGCAGTCAGGTGTCCTGGTTTTGCGGACCTTGAGGCAGTGTGTAGCAGAAGCCAGAGCTGATATGCTTCTACCCCACAGGTGCCAGGCAGACCTTGGCAGTACCTGGCACCTGTCGCTGCAGTGACCCACCAATTATTCACATACAAGTCTGCCCATGGCGGTGTGCGCCCAATGCCTCTGAGGTCCAGTCATCATAATATGCTCTCACATAGGTGCGTGGCTCTTTTGGTGACACAGACAGATGTGGCCTCATCTCTCGGTGAGAGACTCTGCTCTCATCTGGTTGCTAGGAGTTAAAAGGGCTTCTGATTGTGCAGGCCTGCTCTGCCAGCGTGCAAAAGGCAGAGATTCAGCCATTCTGGAGCTCTGGGGCTAGGACTAGATGCGCACCTGGAAGTCGGTGGCTATTGTTGTGTTTCTTTTCTCCAGTTTGCCCTGACTACTTCAACTGTTTGGCCCTCTCTTGCCAGGGGAAAATGGTTCACTGCACTGATCAGACATAGGACTCCCACCAACCCCCTCTTGGCCCAGCTTGTTTCAAGAGTTCATTGGTGTCTCATCACCCTACTTCTCTTGGGGTCACTCCCTTGCTTATGACTGGAGTCTCCAGAGCTCCACCTGATGTGTGAAGACTGGGCCACAGGGACCTGCCCTTAGTGGGCAAGCACCTTGCCTCAGAGCCCCCAGGTCACGTTACCTCGGGCTTGCTGACAGATACATGTTTTCTTGTTGGAGTTGCAGTTAATGGTTTCTCCATGACCAGCAGAGTGGTTTTTACCTTTCCCTGCCTCATGGCTTGTACAGAATAAACCCCTTTCTCAGTCCATGTCACTCTTGGATCCTTTGTTTGAGCCAGATCCAGAACCACTTAGCCTCCTAAAGTGCTTCAGGCAGGCATCTTGCAGTCCTGGTAATTTATATACCATTCTAGGCATTGTGCAAGACTAATTCTTACTTGGTCTGAGCGCCACTTACGAAAAGCAACAAACTACCCTGGGGCAGGAGTGTGTATGTGTGTGGGGCCCACAGCCCACCCCTCCACATCATAAATCTGCCGGTTGTTGGAAGAGAAAAATATTAACAAACATCTACCACCACTGCCAGCCCTAATGTAGAATGTGAAGAGAAAAAAACAAAACTGCAAATGCAACCCTGGGGGAGGGGGAGGCAGCATGCCAAAAGCTTAGACCTTTAAAGGGGATCATTAAGGAATCCTTCCTCACATTTAATCCTCTCTGGACTGGAAATTAGGCTCACAACCATATCCTGGTTTTATTTTTATTTTTAATATTTAAGTATTTGGTACAGGGTCTCACTGCACAGCTTGGACTCGTAGTGACCCTCCTGTCTTGGCCTCTCCAGCACTGGGATTACAGGTGTGCACCACCACACCCAATTTCAGGGCCATCTCAGCATGAGGTATCAGGGCTTGAACTCAGGTCCTTGCGCTTGCCAGGCAGGTGCTTAGATCACTGAGCTATCTCCCCAGCCCCTATATCCTGGTTTTATCTACATATTGCTCTTCTTATCCTAAAAATGTTTAGGATATTTAGAAACCTTTTAGGTTAACATAGTTTGCATATAAAATATTTTGTATATAAGATAATCTTAAAAGATATGTATTTAAAAAAAAGATATGTATTTTTGTATAACCATGGTGTGTGTGTATATATATATATATATATATATATATATATATTTACATTATTTTATACGTGGCATAATTGCTTATAAAATGTTATAGATTTATGAAACTATTAAAGCACTTATTTGTATCAGCAAATATTTTTAAACATAGGCACTATAAGTATATTAAAGTAAACCTTACTGTTTAAGTCAATACAAATGATTTACTGTTATAATTAAGTCCATTCTACTTAAGTATTTAGAGTACTATTGTAGTATGCATGATTTATTTTATATAAGGAAAAAATGTGAAATTTTTACTAGAAAGTTTCCCAAGTGCTGCTAAACAGTAATAAATGTGTGTACCTAGCGCAGACGTCCGACTGACCTAGGGGGCCGGGATCGCGCTCCCGCGCCGCAGCGCCCCCTAGCGCCCGCCCGCGCGCTGACCCGCTGTCCTTGCTCCCCGCAGGCATTGGCAAGAACGTCATCTGCGACCGCACGGCCACGCCGCTGGACGCCTTCCGCATGATGTCGGCGGCCCACTACTACCCCAAGCTCATGAGCATCATGGGCAACGTGCTGCGCTTCCTGCCCGCCTTCGTGCGCATGAAGCAGCTGATCGAGGAGGGCTACGTGGGGGAGCTGCTGGTGTGCGAAGTGCGGGTGCACGGCGGCAGCCTGCTGGGCAAGAAGTACAACTGGAGCTGCGACGACCTGATGGGCGGAGGCGGGCTGCACTCGGTGGGCACCTACATCATCGACCTGCTCACCTTCCTCACGGGCCAGAAGGCCGTGAAGGTGCACGGGCTGCTCAAGACCTTTGTCAAGCAGACGGACCACATCAAGGGCATCCGCCAGATCACCAGCGACGACTTCTGCACCTTCCAGATGGTGCTGGAGGGCGGCGTGTGCTGCACCGTGACCCTGAACTTCAACGTGCCCGGCGAGTTCAAGCAGGACGTGACGGTGGTGGGCGCTGCCGGGCGCCTGCTGGCTGTGGGCACCGACCTGTACGGGCAGCGCAACAGTGAGGCGGAGCAGGAGCTGCTGCTGCAGGACGCCACGCCCGTGAGCAACTCGCTGCTGCCCGCCAAGGCCTTCAGCGACATCCCCGCTCCCTACCTGCGCGGCACCATGAAGATGATGCAGGCCGTGCGACAGGCCTTCCAGGACCAGGACGACCGGCGCACGTGGGACGGCCAGCCGCTCACCATGGCCGCCACCTTCGACGACTGCCTGTATGCACTCTGCGTAGTGGACACCATCAAGAGGTCCAGCCAGACTGGCGAGTGGCAGAACATCGCTATCATGACGGAGGAGCCCGAGCTGAGCCCCGCCTACCTGATCAGCGAGGCCATGCGCCGCAGCAGGATGTCCCTCTACTGCTAGCGTGAACCTGGGGGGATAGGGGAAACGCATAGCGGGGGTGAATAAACGTCATCTGAGAAGGGGGACCCGAGCCGGGTGAGGGACCCCTGACAGTATTGCTGGACTGAGCACTACCCCGGGAGTATTCAGGAAGGCCTGCCATCCCTGTGATGCCCTGCTGGGTGTTTGCAGTAGAGGGAGGAGGTCGAGCAGCCCTGGCTGCCCTGCACTGTGAGAAGCAAGGAGGGGTTGCTTCCTTCCCTACCTCATCCACCCGGGCCCTTGGCCTCCTGGAAGGCCAAAGTGTGTATCTGAAGGCAAGCTGATGTCACTAACATGCCTCACAATATCTCCAGCATGCCTGTTGGTCTAGGGAGGAGGTGCACGTTCCAGGAAGCCGCTTTTTATTCTGCTTAAGGTATCTGAAGGAAAAGGAGGTGGTAGCCAAGTGCAGTTTGGGGATGGTGGCTCTTTGGCCCTTCACCTGCTGCCATCAGGGAGCTCAAGCACGGCTGCCAGAGCACAGGTTCCCACAGGCTGCAAGGTGAGGTCACCATAGCGATGCAGGGATGCAGAGAAGAACTGTCCCTCTGGGCTCGACCTCAGTGGGACAAACACAAAGAGCTTCCCTGAAAGGGTGGGAGAGAGGAAGCAGTGGTCATCACTACCCGCTCTCCAGGCAGCCCAGACAACGCCACACTGCAAGGGGGTCTTGCTACGAGAGTTCATTTGCTGCCCTTTAGTACTGGGAACAGCCATAGGCCTCTGTGTCCCAGTGTGAATTCTCAAACTTGCAGCGGGCTTTATGACCCACCTCTAGTTAGGAGTTGTACCCAGCTTTGTGGATGGAAAAGAGAAGCCTTCACTTCCACTCAAATCGAATTCCCTTCACTAATTGAGAAGAGGTGAGGTTTTCATTTGCTTTAGCCCTGGCTCTCAGGATGTGGGTGCCTGAAAACATCTGAAAAGATACTAAGCAAAATGACAGCGAGGAACATAGTTTTCAGGATTTCTAAATTGGAGGTATAGGGATCTCAGAGGGGGAAGAAGTCTAATGTTGCAAAAATTTCTCGTACTTGCTCTCTGTTGTTTTCTTTTTCCCTTTACAGAGATTTCATGAGTGACAGAAAGCCCGAGCCAAAAGGAATACCTGGTCGCCTGCACACACACACGCATGCGTGCTGTGATGCTTCCTGTCATGAAGGGGCATGGACAGCATCATTTAAAATTCAGATCTGGTGTTGAAAGAAAGCCTAAGTCAAGTACATTTTGAAACTGAGGTGTTGTATTTCTAACTTTTCATGCCCCATAAGCTGTTTGACAAGGCTGGATGCGGGTGCTGTTCCTTATAAGTCATACAACCTTCGTTCACAGACTCACCGAAGTCACAGTGTAGTCTTTGGCGTAGAGTTTGGACTTCTTCGCAGATAGCCAGCAGTAGAACTAGAGGGAATGTGAAAGATCTGGAGCCCACCCCTAGCCTTAATCCAAAATGGCAACACCTAAAGGCACACAGCCGACCAGTTGCATCCTCCATCCCCCCACCAACCCCACACCCCCACCCCGGGGTCCACACATGTCAAAGCCCCGGCTACTCACAGGCACACCGTGGATGTTCCAAATACCAAAGGGAGCTCACTCATCGTCTAGGATGAAGGAGTAAGGATGGCTCACTCGTGTGCCCTGGCCTTGCTGCTACATAGCAGAGTGAGTCAGCTGAGACTCTCCGTGGCTCATCATGGCCCCTAGTTGGTGGACACGTCATGGCCAGCATTTCCAGTTGTGCTGTGATCACTTGTCTGGGTGAAGTGAAAGTAGCTAACCCCATAGGCCTCATTTTTCTAAGGCGGATATTCTTGGGGGTTCAATTTTATGTTTGTGAGCCTCACTGATACTTGAGTGATTCCCAAAGGCCTCAGGGCTCTGTGATACATATTCAGTGTCTGAAACAAAAATTGTCATTCAAGGCTGGGAGATATAAAAAGAATAGACTTTAAAGGAAGCATGAAAAAAATTTTAGTAAGTGTACTCAAATTCTAGCTACTGAAATGCATGTAGTAAGTAGATGTAGGAACAAGGAAGAATTAGGACCTAGGCCATTCATTTTTTTTCTAGCAGAAGAATGACAGCAATGGGGAAGAGATTTTTTTTAGTGTTCTCACTACTCCTGTCTTACCATGTGCAAAGCCTTGGCCAGGAGCAGCAGAGGCTGAAACTGTAAGCACTCCCCAAAGGGAGAATGTCTCAAGCCCAGTACACTTGAGGACTTGGGAGTCACCCCTAACTTTGACTTCAGACTAAGTCCCAGCAATAATCCAGCCCCTTTCACTTTCCCATGTTTCAAGGGCCCAGTGGACACAGCATGGTATTGTGTCCCCCTGGCCTAGCTTGTGCCTGTTTTTATGTAGATGCTGCTTTTGCTATTGGTCAGGGCTTTGTCTGAGTTATCCACAAGTGTTTGGGAAGTTGCAGGCTTATTTGGAAAGTTCGGAGTCTGTGACCACTGTCAGTTTCCCTAAGACTTTTCCCCTCCCTGGGAAAATGGCCCTGTGGAAGGCCTTCCATGTACCTTAGCATACCTAGTCACAAACGCCACTGTGTTGGGTTACCTGCACTCCACAGGAGCAGTCTTGGCTGGCCGGCCAACCCCAAGACTTCCCCACTATATGCACACATGCAAGCACATGAGCTCGTGTGGTCCATGAGCTGATGCTGGAGGGCTGGGGACAGCCATGCTCTTGACACAGGAGAAAGTAACCTGGCCGGAGTCGCACGACTGGCAAGCAGAAGTAGGCTCACTTAATCCACAGACTTTCTTCTTTCAACACAATTTGGGCTTTGGTGGCTTTGGTGTGAAGAGCTCTCCATGTCCAACCCCAGGGCAAATGGGTTAGTGCTGTAATAAGAGTAATGGGACCTCTACAGCCTCCTACTGAGCAGGCAGCACCTCTCAGCCTCCGCCAGTAGGTTCCTAAAGCTGGAAACAGAAGTAGTCAATTCTTTCTTCCCCTTCCCAAATGAAATTATCACTCAGCTTCTTTTAAAATGGATTTTCTACATCAATTTTTGATTGTAGGTGACCAAGCAAACCCCCAAGTTGGAGATTTTCAAAGCACTGGAGTGATAGATGGTTGTGGACCTGCAGGGGCCCAAGTGTAGTGGAGAACCTTTTCTCAGGGAGTTGGGCTATGAAGGTTCATTTGCCACAACTTGGACTTCAGCTCTGTGTTTGAACCCTTTCAGTCCTTGCTCTCTTCATCTGGCCTGGTAGCTGCAATAATGATTTGACCTGTGTTTACAAGTTAGCTGCTGAGCACAGGAGGAAATCAGCTGCTGATGATAACCTAGGCTGAAGAAAATGCAGGTGTATGGGAAGGGATTTCAGAGTCTGCTATCATCAGTCCTTGAATTTTAGATCCCGGAAAGAATAGGTGATGCCCTGAGCTCAGCTCACTTCCTCTGTGTTAGGAAACCCAGCTCTACAGCCCACCTGCTGCATGCTTCTGAGCTTTCAGGTGGAGACAGGAGACTCCAAGAGGGGAGTGACTGGGCTGGAGGTCCCTTGGCTCGTTGGTAGAGAATTTAGTTTTAGGCATCAGAAGTGCATCAGACTGTTTTCTCTGAGCTGTTGCAGGAGCTCTCTTGTGTTTTGAATGTACTTGCTAGTTGTTTACCCTTTTCCATCATGACTGTAGTGTTACCCCTTGTCTCTAACTTGTATTTTATTTGGCAAGGGTGGGGCATACATTCGGATGTTCAGCTTTGGGTTGAAGTATATTGCCCCTCTTCCCTGTGACCGGATACAAATGTAGGCTGTGAGCAGCTACCCGCTGCTTGTCACACTCCACCCGCTGGCTGTCAAAGCTCTGGAGTTCACAGGATGGAAGTCATGACATTGGGGAACTTGTTGGAAAACAAAATCAGCTAATGAGAAGCCTACAATCTGGTTCCATTTTGGGGCAAGGGAAGAGGGCTAGGAAGGTCCCAGAGGCCTCCTGGTCTTCTGGCACTACTGGCCTGGCCCACCCCACACATAGAGGCAAAGGATTGTCCAGGGTGCCCACACTTCTCCCTTGTGCTTCTTTGAAAGGGATGGTTTTAGTGGTCCTGTCAAAGGCTGGCCTGTAAGCCAGTGCAGTATCCAAGTGATCACAGCTAGGATGTGAAGGTCCTAGCCTATTGGCCCTTTTCTCCTCTACATTGTACTCCCTATTGCTGGAGCCCTTGAAGGGCCTCCCAAGAGGCTGGCTGTCTCCTTCCAGCTCCAGCTCTGGAAGAATTGCACTACCAAGTACCCTCAAATGTGGCCATCCCCTGGGGACATACCAACAACGCACAGAGTGAGACAAAGCACCTACTAAGTGCAACGGCTCGATGCTTCACTCCACAGTCAGAGCCCCGCTGGGCACGGAGTGCACATTAGCCGTGGAGCCTTGTGTCCCTACCTCTCCCCTTCCCAATACTCCCTGCTGTCCTCTGCAGCCACACAAGGGCTAAGTTACTCACAGAGTCCCTTGGTTTCTCCTTGCAGACACAACGACTCACTCGTTTTGCCAAGCGGAATCCCAGGTTGGGAGACAAAGCTGTGGCCTGACCCGTTCCTTTATGCTGCCCTGTGCCTTGTTCACAGAAGGGAAAAGTATCTTGCAATTACAGTTTTCTGTTTGCTGCCTGGTGCTTTTCATTTGTTTTGTGTGTATATGTTTGGGTTTTTTTTTTTTTTTTTTAACCAAAATTGCATCAGTTTGGTTGTCCTTGTCCAGTATATATTTATTGTGGTCTACAAACATGAGTATATATATGTATGTAAATGTATAAAAAAGCAAACATATATAAAAAGTCAAGGCATGTATACTAGATATTTTAAAGAGTTAATTTATCAAGGGAAAAAGATGTGTGTTATAAAGAGTCTATATTTTATATATAATGTAGATAGCAAAAATAGCTTATAAATTATAGGCTTTGGTTTTTCTTTTTTTATTATTAAAGCAACAAAACAAAACAAAGGACAATGCAACTGCTGTTAGTGTTTTAAAGGCCAAACTACTGTGGGAGGTGGCCTTCCTGCGTCCGCCAGGGGCTTGGGCTCTGCTGCCCTGGCTCCTGCCAGATGCCCTTGTTACCTGTGTGATGGCTGGGTGTGGGACGCCCTCGCAGCCAGATGGCCTGGGCTGGCCTCCAGCTGCTTTCCGAAGAGTGCGGTGGTGGGGTAGAAGGACACAAGTGGCAAATAAAGATTTCCACGAACGTACAAAGCCGGTGGTTTCTTGTTTCCTACGCACAAGGCTCGTAATTTAGGCACCTGCCCAGTGTGAGGGCTGGGAGCACTGAGGGGCGCATCTGAGGTGAGCGCATGCCGAGGGAGGCTGTCCCAGGTCAGCACCCCTGCAGCTGACCGAGGGGAGCCCGCTGACCTTCCGCTTCCAGTTGGGAATCATTAGCCGTGAGAACTGGAGCCGATGGGTTCAAATCCTCATTTTTGAAATGTGAAAACAGGGGTGATGATTTATGTAAGACCTCTCCAGTGTGTGTGTGTGTGTGTGTGTGTGTGTGTGTGTGTGTGTGTGTGTAAAGCTAATCCAAAAACGATAGCTAGCTTTAGGAGTGGGGCGGGGGGGACAAATTTTAGAGTCCCCCTTCTTTCAATATTGTAACACCATGCTCTGAAAGACCCTCGCTGCCAGGTTCGCTTACCTATTTACAAAGGGATCTCCACCCATTTGTTTTCAGCCTTAAGGGCAGCCACTGTGAACTGAGTTTAGCGCAGTTTGAAACGTGGCACAGGCGCTCTCCCAGGTGGCTGGCCCCTTCTTTTCTATCGCTTTCTCAGTCAGAATGCACAAGAGAGCGTCTTTGGGGCCACGCTTTCTTTTTACTTAAACAGTTAAAAATGAGAATACCACAAAACCTGTCATCTCGGGATTCATTTCTTCTTCAGCAAGTCCTGATGTTGAGTCATTTAGAACGCATCAAAGCCGCCAAGCCCCTAACTTCACCCCGCACCCCTGCGTCTGCGTCTGTGTCTGCGCAGCTTGTCGCTGTGCGCACACACGCCGGTCTCACACCTCGTGATGCTCCAGGGCATCTCAGCAGTTCTGACCAAGGCTGAGGAAGAGGAGGCTTTCAAAGCCAAGCGCACCCTCTGCCAGGTGGGATGCGTCCCGGCACTAGCGCTTGGTCCTTGTGTTTCCTTGGCAAAGTGACCCCCTGCAGCGCCCAAGGGAAGTCTCAGATTTCCTAAGCACTTAGAGATTTTCAGTGTAGTAGCTAGTCATTCCTTCATAGGTTTTTGGATTTTCTTAGTGATATTGGCTTCTGCCAATTTTAGGCCCTTGTCTGGCTTTGTAAACCAGGGATTATGGGGATCTAGCATCCCTAGCTTGAAATCCAAATGTTGTAAAATGCAAAACTTGTCGAGTGACAATATAATGTATAAGAAGCTTTGGATTTTAGAATATTGTAGACTGTATTAAGAGCTGGAATGCTTAACAATATACAGATATTCCAAAGTCCCCAAGTCCCCAAAATCTGACACACCATTAGTTCCAAGTATTTGTGGTGAGGGATACTCAACCTGTACTATCTCTCTCTCTCTTTTTTTTTTTTTCCGGAACCAGGGATTGAACTCAGTCCCTTGCACTTGCCAGGGAAACATTTATTCTACTGAGACATCTCCCTGGCCCCTGTACTACCTCCTATTAAATCTCAGGATATGAACAACTACTTTCCCTGCTCCACCTATTGCCTGAAAGAGTCCCAGTCGTGTAGCAGATCATTCAGGTGCTTAGTGGTCAACTATGAATCCTGTCTGTCTCCCCACCTGTCCCCCAGCCACAAAACCATTTTCCACCTTCATCTCTGGCTTCTTTCATCCCTGGGCTTTTAGCTTCTGCTGTGATAAGTCTGAGCAATTCATCTTTTAAAATGAATGGATGGCTATAGTTATTAGAGAATGAATCACATACCTATAAAATAGGCAAAAGTCAGTATAGATACAAAACCTTTGCCTCACTCTAAGCAGGAGGCTGCTGTTCTTTTGTGTATGGTCGCCTTATTCTTGCCTAACCCAGACAAGCTGCCTTTGCCTGGATGTTGGAAGCTTTGCCCCAAGCGTGCTGGAAGGTTGTCCAAAAAGCCTAGCTAACAAATAGGGGAAAGACACATCGTGCCATAGAGCTGGTGCCGAGTCAGGCCCAGATGACACACTGCAGCTTGCTTGAGCCAAAACTACTGAAAAGCTGGTGCAAGTTGAAACCATTCAAAATTCTCCGCCTTGTTCATTCAGGTACAGGCCCCTTTCTGAATCTTATCTCTGGCTCTGCATCTGTAGAATAAATTCCTGAGGGGTGACTTGGGCTGCGACTGCTGTTGTAGCATTTCTGTGGTTTAATCACAGCTCTTCAAGATAAACCCCGTATCTTACTTCACTGTTGGACTCCCTCGAACATGACATGGGGATTACAGAAATCTGCTAATATTACACAGATTCTGATCAACTCGGATCCCACCAAAGTTGTCCCCTTCAGCCATGTGTGCAAATGAAAGACTAAGTCACTTTTAGGAGTCTTTCCTGGGGAATCCCAATCAGCCCTTGGTCTCCAAAGGGGATTGATTCCAAGACCCCTATAGATACCAAAATCCAAAGATGCTCAACTTCCTTATATAAAAGACTATAATATTTGCATACAATTTACATACCCTTGTATACTTTAACCATCCCTAGACTACTTATAATAATACCAAGCAAATAATATGTAAATATTTGCTCTTCTGTATGTTTAGGGAATGACAGGGAAGAATATATACTCAGTGCTATGCAATTCATATATATACATATTCAATGTGTACTTATACCTCCAGGTGTGGAGCCTGCAGATATGGAGATTCAGCTGTTCCCTACACCCCCACTTCTAACACTGGGGATTGAACTCAGAGCCTCTGCACTGAGCTACATCTCCAGCTCTTGTTTTTCATTTTGGGATCAGACTTGTGACATCTTTCCCTCCTCCCTCAGCCTCAGCCGCCAAGAGTGTTGGAATTACAAGCATGTGCCACCATGCCTGGTTTCAGTGAATTCATTTCTTGGTCATTGATGGGCTCAGTCCTAGAATTACAATCTATATTATGACCCGTTCATCACTGGTCATGAGTGCCCTAAGGAGGCGGAGCCAGAATATGGCTGAGGTGGCTACAGCCAATGTATGTGGACCATATGAATGGAGCCCACTGGTTCAAGTTCAGCCTTCAACTACACCCCCAAAATCCCTCTTACGATAAAATTAATGGGTATTAATCAGGTCTAAGATAGGTAAAGATTATACTAGGTTTTCTTGGGAATGGGCGAATCACAGTAAACTCCGAGCCATAAAGATCAGGCAGGCATAATAACTAATGAAGTCCAAGGAAAGAAAGCCAGATCAAAGCTCCTCTCTCATCTTACGCCTTCAGAGCTGCTGGCAGGTGTGGCCAGCTCTTCAGTGTGCTGGCTGAGGAATCTGGACCTGATGTTCAGACTTCTGACATGAAGAAAACCATAGCGGAAGGGGTCATTCATGCCAAGGGTAGGACAGATGAGATAGAAACACAACTGGAAGGCAAGAGAGCTATGCATTTAAGATATGGAAGGTTGCAAAAAAAAAAGGTCACATGACATATCTGAACTATGCACCCTATGTGGCGGACAGGCCTGAATCTGTTCTAGGAACAGCTTGTTTGAGGAGGAAGAGGACTGCAGATGAAAAGGAATGAGGGAGGAATTTTTACAAGAACTTGAAAGCATCAAGTGTTGTCAGCACTTACAGGAAATGCTTCAGTGTCAGCCACAGTGTTAACTAAGCTCATCCCCAACACCCAAGTTCACCTTCAACTCTTGTCTTTCTTACTGCTTTTCCTATTTGCAGATCTCCAAAGCCTAACATCTTTGTGGATTTGTTATCTGTCTTTTTACTCTGTCCTACCCTTCTGAGGCCCCTTGCAAACGCCATTCAGGAACCAACAATTTTGCCTTTTCTGGACACGCAGAACCTTTTAGCTGGATCTTCTCTCTTGTGGCCTGTGACATCTGGGTTTTGCCATACTCTCACAACTGCCTCTTCCTTCACTCATCCACTCATTCACCCTACAGCCATCCAGTCAAGGCTTTCCACCATCACCTGTGTGCCCTGCCCACCCACTTCCTCCTCCTTACATGGGGAAAGCAATCAGGGACATCCTTTCCTCCTAATGCTGGATTTCACTCTTTCCCAGCCTTTGTTCTTCCTACCTTGACTCTTCCCAACTTTTCCTCTTCCCTAATTCTTCAGTGAAGCCAATGGTTGCTGATCCGGAGCATGAATTCAGGGGAGTCTCTGAATTAGATGAAGGAAAAGGTGCATCTTGATTTTCTCTAATGCATTCATTACCTTTAAGGCAGACACCAGATTACAATGGTATTAGCAGCATCTGTGGGCATCACCAGAAGATCTCATTGCTGGATTTGCAAGGATCTTGAAACAGCATCCACAAGGGCTGGCCAGATAGCTCAGCAGGTTAAAGCACCTGCTCAGGCAGATGCAGAGCCTGGGGTTCAGTTCCCCAGCCTGCCGTGCCAGCCCTGCCCCCAGGGCATGCTGTGAGGGAGCAATCCCAGCACTTGGGAGGCTGAAAACAAGAGGATCACTATGAGTCCCATCTGTGTAGTGAGACCCTATAGACCCTGTACTGAATACATAAAAAAAAAAAAAAGAAATAGCTTCTACACTCATCACTTCTCTGAAATTATGGAATCCACTAAGCCACAACCAGATTTAATGCTTCCATTAAAAATTATATATCTATATCTATATATCTATATCTGCTGGTCTTTCAAAAGGAACAGTTAATGCTTTTTTTTTTAATTTCTTACAACTTTGTTGGTGTCCTTTTTTAACTAATTTTTCAGGTTTATATCTGGTAACCCAAACAACTAATTTGAGGCTAACATCATGCAATACAGCAACAATTGTTGAATTCCTACTACTTTGCTTAATGAAATTTTGTATTTTCTAATACTTTTTTTTTACTGTTTGTATTTTTTTTTACTATTTGTATTTTAAAAAATCTCATACATTGCCCTATCAATAATTGTTTTAAGATCTGAGTGACTCTATGGCAATATAATTTATTCTGTTATAATCATACACATTGTTTTATACATTAAAAAACCTTTTTGAGGAGAGAAAGGAGCCGGTGTTCCCAGCAGGATCATTAGTTCCTTGGGT